TAATTGTTATATGTATTTAAACAATATGTAATTATGTCAATCACAGTTCCATGTGAGTAAGTTAGAAAGTTTCTATTACAGTCTTCCCTCCAGCTTGAGTCGCTATTGAGTTAAATCCAAGCTGTGCTATCCAGTTGGTTTCCAGCTCTTCATTGGGTTGCTGGTAATAAACCCAGCCCTTCTGTTTCAAGAACAAAGGGGTTGCCAGTCTTGCAACCAAGAACATGAGTCTCACTACCCATTATTCAGGTGATGCATCCAGTCATCCAGTTGGCCCTGTGGGCCCCAACTCTGTCTTTGCTGTAGCCTTCACCTCCATCTCCTGCAGAGCAGCCAGGAAGAAATTCAGAAAGTAGATCTCTGTTGTGCAGCAGGTGGATCTTGCTGCTTCAACCAAGTGCCCCAAAGAGCACCTGAAGTGCCATCTTATAGCGTAAGGAGAGACAGCAAACAGAGGGGCATCAGTGGTAAGCACAGCCTTCTTTGAGGTTGCACATGTCACAGGGGCACGCAACAAAGGAGACTCTGGGAGAGGGGGCCGGATAAGAGGTGAGCTGACTGCAAGGACTTCAGATGGTGAGCAGACTCTGGTCTTGCTCCTACAATTATTGCCTCTGTCTTAGGTCCTGGGGTTTAGAGTCAAGTGTCTGTAGACATAGAGGTTTTGCCTGCTTAGACCAGGGCCACAGGCAGGAGTAGCCAGGTCACAGGGGGCAGAGAGAAAAGCCACCATTGCTTTGCCAGTGTTACTGCCTCCATGTGAGCAAAATGTGGTAGGCACTGGGGCTACCTGATAGCCTCTTCTCCAAGCAGGAGCTTCCTCTTTGCCAGCTGCTTATTTCTTTCAGAAGAAGGTGTCAGGATTTCAAAAACGAAAAGGCAAGAAGTAGCAAGTAAAGGCAGCCTGTCCCAGGCATCCACTCTAGACTGAAGGGGACTTAGGCACCAGCTGTGATCACCTTTCACCTTGACACAGGAATGCTGATGACTTGTTTATGATAAAGAGGAAGCAACAGACAAAATGGGCACTGCCGAGGATCCCCCATGGTCTCCATGGCTTCATGACTCCTGTGTCTCTCCAAGGAAGGGCATGGCCTACTTTCTTCCTTTTGCAGCTGTCCCTCCGTATTTTGAGCACTCACTTACCACACATGTCCAGCAAATGAGCTGAGGCAGCATGCAAGATCTGCATTCCAATTTGGATTTCAGAAAAATAAGTTCCCAAAAATCAGATGTCCTACCAGATCCCACTGCTATGACAAAAAAAAAAAAATCTGGCCCCTGGGGGATGGGAGCCCCTCTGATTGCCAACATACCTTACACCTCATTATGAAAATCAGCTCCTAGGCAGCTGAATGTCTAATACAGATCCACACAGTTCCAGAGGTACATAGACTTCCTGCTAAATGGAAGCAGGTGCGGTGTGAATGTGAGCAAAGCAGGAGGCATGTGGGAGCCACTCCCCAGGTCCTAATTGGGAACATACAGCGTGTTTCTGCAGTGAAGCCCACATTTGTCCCAAGCCCATGAACAGCACTCCTGTTGCCCCAGGGATGAACACAGAGGTATCTGGTCGGGAGAGACTAATTACTTACGGAACCCCAAGGGGACACCAAGTTGTCTAAATCACTCTGAGTGGAAGAAATGCTACACATGTAAAAATTTCACCCAGAGTGAGGCTTCTCCAAATGTCTCCCTTCCATTTCCATGTTGGCATCTTCAAATGATTTCATGTCTCCTGAAACTTCTGCCTCCTTACCAGCAGCCTGGAGCAAAGTTTTGTAGCAAACAGGCTTCAATTCTGTCAGGTTTAGCCACAAACACTGCACTCAGTCACAATGCAGTGTTTTGCTCACCTTTTCCCATGGAAGACTTTTTTGGCAGATGATAACATGTTTGTATCTTGAAGACCTCAAAAAGCAGAATCTGGATTAGTCTGCAGTTGATCCAGTTAAGAATGCAGCTGATAACTGTCATAATTTTTTAGGGGTCATTTTATACCATTGGATTTGAGAGGGCCTAAGCCGGGGACTTTTCACCCGGGGATAGGCTGAGAAATCACTGAGATAATGGAGTTGGATTCCTTTCATGATCACAGGAAATAGTCATTGAGATTCTCCTGTGGATTGGAAACCAGGGCACATCCATAAATGAATAAGCTCGGTTTCTATTCCCTAGGAGTCCTCAGTCAACAGGTAGATGACTCGCAACGTTAATAAGGCTGAGGGGGAAAGAATCCTGGCAGTAACATAGCCTGTTACCAATCTCAGGAAGGCTTCTCAAGGGAGGTGGCATTTGAACTGGATTTTAAAACAGGAATGGAAGTTACCAAGCAAATTGGTACTGCAGGAGCAGGTGCAATAACAAGGAAGCTGTTGCAGAAACATCAAGTCATACAGCGGAAGCTCCACAGCCATTTGGTGGCAGAGCTGGCCTGCAAGAGCCCGGCCTTCTGCCCTCTCTGTCTTGTCCACAACCCTGCAGTTAGTACCTCCCCTTCAGTTGTTCAGTTAGCCAGCAGCTTCTTGTGAAAACAGTACTGCCTGAGCTTTGCTTGGAGTTCTCATTTTTGAAAGGAATATTCCACATGAAACTTCCTAAGTAGCCCTCTGCAAAGACAGGGTTAGGGAGGCACTGTGTGTTGTAAACATCTTGGGAACAAGGATGCTTCCTAATCAAGTCAGTGGAGGACAGGTATCTTGAAGCTATCTGTGAACCTCAATACCCCCAACCCCAACCACTGTACCAGGAATGAGGCCTTCTGTTAAATTAGACCCTCTGATTCTTAAGTTAGTGTTAGTGTAAAACTCCGCCTGTGTTAGCAGAGACACAACAGCCAGTATGTGGAATTGTCTGTTCACCAGGAGACCCACACATTTGGGCCATTTTCTCAAACCTTGCAAACAGAGTCCAAATTAATCTGGAAATCCTTGGGGAAAGACTTGCCTTGGCAGTGCACTGAGTTACAAATGCTGCTGATCCCCCCTCACTCCCTCCCCCTATCCCTCAGCAATCCCACTTCCTTCAGGAAGATTTCCTTCTACTGATGTGGCTCCATTCCAGCTGTTTGTGTGCTATACCTGCAACCCCACCCCTACCCTCTGCAGCCAGAGCTGTGCTGCATATAAGTCTCATGGTAGCCTAGCAGCTAAAGTCCTCACCTTGAAGGCCCTGGGATCCCATATGGGTGCCAGTTCTAATCCTGGCAGCCCTGCTTCCCATCTAGCTCCCTGTTTGTGGCCTGGGAAAGCAGTCAAGGATGACCCAAAGTCTTGGGACCCAGCACCCGTGTGGGAAACCCAGAAGAGGCTCCTGGCTCCTGGCTCCTGGCTGCAGATTGTCTCAGCTCCAGCTATCACAGCTGCTTGAGGGTATAAGTCTCAGTGCCCTTGTCTGAGAGGACCAAAGGTGGTCATGCCATCAATTATAGACATGGAAATAGCTCTTGGGAGTCACCTCCATCATCCCTTGCATTTTTACCTGTGACGCAGGTAGAGCACAGAAGGGGAAGGATAATGCTCTATGTCACAGAGCTTGTACTCAGTCTCCTGCTGCTGCCAGCAGAGGCTGTGACTTTCCCATTGGCAAGGCTTGTCCCTTACAGGGTGACATCTGACCTAACCAAACCCTTCATTTGGGCTTCATGACACATTCCACAGCTCTGCATGCCTGCCTTTTTCTCAGCTTTCAATTCTGACAAGCCACAGCCCTGGTGTGGGCTCTCAGTTGTCTTAAGTGAGAGAAAGTGGATGGATCAGGTTTCTCAGACCCCATCAAACTCCAGAAGTTCTAGAACTCTGTAGCTTCCCACACAATTCTCTGCTGCTCTCAATGTCTCACAGCTCTTCCTTGCTCATTCCTCTGACCTCTTCTATGGAAGACAGTCCTGCAAGATCCAGATAGCACAAGACCTAACCTGGAGTCCAAAGGCCTGAGTTCAAATCCAGCCTCCATGATTTAGGGCCTATGGCCTTAAGCAAGCCACTCTGTTCCTAGCTTAGCTGCTTCCTCTGTTAACTCCTTCTTTTGTGATAACAGCAAATTCAGATACATGGTATAAAGAAAGCATTTTTTATATAGCTCCTTTTTAACTTTATTCCATATTCAGCATTGTTGAGAAACGAGTTGTTTCAAATAAGCATATTATCTAGAGTCAAACATGTCTGTTAGCTAGAGCACCAAACATTGCCTATTTTTTTGATGAAAAACTTTGGGAAATGGGTTCACTATTTCCTTGATGCATCATACCTAGGGTCACATGCAGAGATGTTAGGGTGGTGAGAGCAAGTTACACCCCTGCCAAAAGTGAGTGACAGCAGATTCTGGGGGCACAGGGACAGTATAGGAAATGGGAGAGAAAATTTCAATGGCTTTGAGTTTCCCAGCTCTGCAAACCAGAACCGCTGAAGGGTCCCAGGCAGGAGGGGGACAGTACTAGGATTGTTGCCAGGAGATCCACTCAGACTGCTGGCTGGTGTGAGTCCAGAGCAGGAGGGAAGAAAACAGAGGGGGACGTTGGCATTTTGGCAGCCCCGATGAGACATGGTGGGCCCCAATCCAACAAGCAAAACATCAGAGGTAGGAAGAGACAGATCTGTGAGTGCCCAGTAACTTTATGGAAAAAATAAAGATCAATGGACTGTCAGTTCCTTATGATAACAATGTAAAGCACAGAGAAATAGAAACAGGCATCATCCGGCACCTACCCTCTCCCATCCTGGTCATAATCACTGTGAACACGTTAAGCCACTTCTCCCAAAGCTTCTGGGTTGAAGAACTCCTACTGCACTTGTAGATACAAGCTTGATTTATAGAGCTGTGGTTCAGGCAGACATTGCCCAGAACACATCTCATGGTATCCTCCAAGCTAGAAATCAGTAAGAGTGAAAATAACAGGATGTTAACTCCTCCTGGTGACTGAGCCACCCAAGCCACTGGGTGCGTCCTAGCCAGCAATGAGTTGAGTGCCATTCTCACTCTATCGTCATCTTTTTCTGCAGAGTCGGTGGAGAGCTGTCCCAGCAACTGCTATGGCAACGGTGACTGCATCTCCGGCACCTGCCACTGCTTCCTGGGTTTTCTGGGTCCAGACTGCGGCCGAGGTGAGACTGCCCATGGATCCTGGAAGCTTGAGTTTCACTTCCAGAGTCATGAGCCAGGGCAGGGAGGTGGCAGAGGTCCTTCTTTAGAACCCTTCAAGGGTGGTCTGTATGCAGAGCCCATGCCCTGTCAGCTCGGTACCCATATGTATATGATGGGACAGCTGTCACAGGACCAGCCATGGTGAACTTCATGTGCCTGGCACAGACAGGCTGAGTAGTTGTGGACCTCCACTTAGAGGAGTGATAGTCCTTGCCAAGCTTCTTTGAAGTTCATCTCCACACTGGGGGGGATTTCTGTCTGGCCCAAGGATGGGCAAAGGCTGGGGGACTACGGAGCTGTCCATTTGCTGCCTCTGAGGCCCCTGAGAGAGGGACTTCTCCACTGGGAGCCCTTACGCTGCCTGACGCTTTGCACAGCCTGTGCTGAGTTAGTCTAAAAGGGTGCCCATGCTCTAGCCTGTGGTTCTGCTCCTCAGGGCTGCCAGGAAGAATGAGCTCAGCCTATGCCCAAGGAGCTCCCTACTCTGGAGAGTGCAGCACTCTCCTGGGGAAACTACAGGGTCCCCTTCTTTTGATTCTCCTGTCTCTATTCATTCAGTAATGGCTTCAGAGCCATGCAGGCCCCTTGTCCATCCGGGGCTGAGTCCCACAAAGCAGAGCTGAGCAAGACTTCTCCCTCCCCCAGGGAGTCTCTGTGTGCTCTGGGGATGGGTATACAAGAAACAGTTGGCTGCAAAGCCGTCCTACAGTGAGAAAAAGGCACTGTACAGAAGACAAAAGGCAGAGCCTCCATCAGAACACAGGGGGCCTGACTTAATGTGGAGAGGAACCCCCGTGGAGGGGATCCTGGGCCTGCACCCTAGGTCTAAGAAGTTGTCCAGTGGTGGAAGGATCGATGGTTTCCACACTGGGGACACAGTGCTGAGCCATGACATTGTTTGGGGGTTCTGCATATTCTGCCTGAAGACAAACAGGCACGGATTTTGAGGCCGCACCGCTGAGAAGCACACGGCTTACTTGTTGAGTGGTTTAAAGGGGAAGGAGCCAGGTGGGGGCCCCAGCAAGCTGGTGCAGATGGGAATGAGTCATTCCTTCTAACAAGAATCACTGCCTCGTCCTGCAGGCACTGAAGAGTCACGTATAAAGCAGCCTTACTGTGTCTCGGTGAGACTGGCGACTACTTACAGCACAGTGCAGCATAATTTATTTTTTATATAATGGTGTCCGACATAGCAATGATCACAAAAGCCTTTACACTAAGGAGCAGAATGGAAAGATAATGCTTTAAAGAGTTAGGTTGGGTTCAGCTCTTCTCTTAAAGGGACAGTGGTGTCTGGGGCTTGGAGTAGAGACCTACAAGGCAAAAGAAGCTGAAATTGGCTAGGTTATAGGTGACAGTGAGTGGTGCTGCATGTCGGGTGCCAGGAATAGAAGTGGGGTGCTGCTAGAAGTGGTGCTGGGGCCAACTGGGGCAGGTAGGAGACCACTGTCTTTACCAGCCAGACCAAGGACCAGTCTGATGCTTCCTGTGTGAGGTTCCTGGCAGGCACAGTACCCAAAGGAGATGGGGTAAGCAGCATTCAGTGGTCCCCAGCTCTGCCAGGTCTTGCACCATGCCCTGTTCTCCTATAATTTTACCTGAGTAAAGCCGGAATAAAATGAACAAGAGAAGCAGACCATTGAATACAGATGTTTGTGGCAAAGCCAGTGAGGGCCCTGAAGACCGAGGCAGCTGGAGGGAGTGAGTGATGCTGGATGTTGGTTTACACTATTGTCCTGGTGCTTTCTCCCCAGCCTCCTGCCCAGTGCTGTGTAGCGGGAATGGCCAGTACATGAAGGGCAGGTGCTTGTGCCACAGCGGTTGGAAGGGTGCCGAGTGCGATGTTCCCACCAACCAGTGTATCGACGTGGCCTGCAGCAACCATGGCACCTGCATCATGGGCACCTGCATTTGCAACCCTGGCTACAAGGGCGAGAGCTGTGAGGAAGGTAAGACTCGTGGATAGCAATGCTGGTACTGTCCCCAGGGACAGAGGCCTGTACACAGAGCAGGAGGGCAGCCAGAGACCCCAGGAAGCCTGTACAGCCTCCTCTTGGTGTTGCCACAACCCACCCACCCCCAGGACAGCGTCCAGCACCAATGATGACACACCTGAAGGAAGAGGGCAGGCACGTCATGGCCCTGGCTGGGGAAGGGGAAGAGAGCCCTGACCACATGCCAGGTTCTGTGCCAGGGGCCGCTGTCATTGAGCTTCAGGCTGTTCAAGGGGTGGATGGGGGGAAATGTGGAATCGTCATCTCTCCTTTGTCCTGGGAGAGTTGAGTGACTTACCCAGGGCCTCACGGCTGCTGCTTGGCTTGAGCCCAGTCTCTCTGGCTTCGTCTGCCAAGTTATCTGACCTGTGCTTTACATGCCTCTGCTCGGCCTCTGCCTCCATTTCTGAAGTGTGATTCTGTCCTGGACCTCCAGACTGCCTGCTGTTGTTACACACTGTGTGTGGGAGTGTGTGTGAATATGAGTGTGGGTGAGAATATGTGTGTGACTGTGAGTATATGGGTATTATGTGAGTGTTGTGTGTGTGAGTGATTGAAAATGTGAATGTGCGTGTATGAGTGTGTAAGAGCATATGTGTATAAGTGCGTGAGTATATGCATGTGTGTATATATGAGTGTGTGAGTGTGCATATAAGGGTGTCTGAGAGCGCATGTCTGTGTGTGAGTGTATGTGTGCATGTGTCTGAATGTGTATGTGTGTTTCTGAGTATAAGAAAGTGAGAGTGTGTAAGAGGGACAGTGGGAATGTATAAGTGTGAGTATGAATATATAAGTGTATGTGATTGTGCATAACTGTGAGCATGTTTGTTTCCAAATATTAGAGTGTGTGTGTGTGTGTGTGTGTGTATCTCCAAGTGTATGTGTAAGAGTGGGAGTGTGAGAGTGAGTGTGTTTCCTGTGCCTGGGAGCCTCTCTCTCAGGAAGTGGGTTTCAGACTGTGCTGAATGATGCTAGGGGGTGAGCTGCTGATGGAACAGTGCCATCCACCCTTACTTGTAAAATCTAACCAGGCCAAGGTCAAGGAGCATTTCGGTTTCACGAATGAAGAGACTGAGGCCTAGGGAAAGGCAGTGCGTTCCTGGGGACATGGGGCCCACGCATGGCAGGGCTGGGAGTCTCCTTTCTCTTCCTGTCCTGCCTCCCACTGCCTTCCCCATGTCAGAGCAGCCTTGAAGAGCTCACACTGCAATGGAGGACAGGTGTGAGTCCTGGCCCCTCCGCTGGGCAGCCTCAGTCCCCTCATCTGTCACACAGCGTTCCTTCAAGAGCCACTGGAGTTGAAAGAGCTGTGCAGAGCCCCTGCTCAGTGCACAGTGTCTGGCCCATCAGGACTGCTCCATCAATGTCGATGTTCTGTTGGTAACGCATTTCCCACTCTGCCTCTCTCAAGGTCTCCTGCAGCGGGTGGACTCTGCTCTTGGCAGTTGTGGGATGCCAGGCACATGGCCGCTACCTCCCATTCACCACTGTCCAGCACCCTGGTACCCTCCCCAGCACTGGCTGGAAGGAGCTGCCAGGAGAGCTGGTCCTCTAATCCCAGGTGGTACCTCACAGAGTCCCTGTCTCAAGACATCAATTTCTCTATGACATTAAAAAAAAAAAAGAATTTTGCCAGATCCCATTTGCAAAGAGTGGACATGGGAAGAGGTTGAAGTGTCTGACAAGCAGGCCCCTTCTGAGCCATGCTGTCCAAGTGTGGCTGGAGCCCTGATGTGGATGGATCTGGTGGCCATGGTGGGGCCTCATCTGTGTTCTTTGTGAGAAGAGGGGCGCCAGCTCCCCCAGCCAGCCAGGAACTGTGTCCTTTGTCTACTTCCTATCCTCTTCACAGCCCCTGGAGGTGAAGACCCCGAGACAGCAGGAGCGATTGCTCTGGACATTGTGGGCTGCCCCCACCCTCCAGCCCAGTGCCCTGGAGCCCTATGGGCTATTTACCAAAGAGAGAAAAATGTTGTTTAGAACTTTGATTTACGTTATCATTTGAAAAGCTGTGTTTTTACTCCTACTTTCTTTTGAGACGCACCATCTGGTTCTGATTCCTTTTATTATTTCTGTCTCTCCTACAGCGCGCCAGTATGCAGCCCTTGTGTTTATAACGGGGTTTCTGGAACCTTCCTCCTCCTCCTCTTGCCCCTCCCCCATGCTCCCACCCCACTCTGTGCTAACCAGCTTCAGTGTGTTTATAAAACATCAGCTAACAAGCTGACTTCTTTCTCTCTCTTCCTTCTTCTGAGGTTTACTGCCATATATGTGTGTGTGTGTGTATTTTTTTAATGCTTGAACCAAGCCAACAGGAGGCTTGGAGGACAATGAGGGAGAGCCAGAAGAGACTAAACTAGGACCTTGTGCAGAGAGAGAGTGGTGAGCCTGTGGCTTGGGGACTGAAGAATGGCCAGGGGTGCCAGGGGTCCCTGGGCATGGAGCACTGCAGCAAAGGGTTGCATCTGCAGTTGAGTATGCAGGCCTCCTGGCTTCATTCATTGGCTGAGCTTCTTGCAGAAGTCTTGGCATGCCTGGCAAGCTCCATGGAGGAGGCGTTCCACCTGGCACATCTTCTGAGATGCTAGAATTATGTTCACTTCTAAATGCAATTCAGCCCGCATCGCTCTCCACTTCTCCCCTCCTCCTCTGCTCCCCTCCTGTGCCCCCTCCCTAGGCTGGCAGAATTCAGCTCCCTGGGATTCCCTGGTGGTGAGATGGGCTGGGGAGAAGGGGAAGGAGGCAGTTTGGATGCCATGCAAGAGTTTCTGCCACCAGGAGACCTCAGAAGGGGCACAGGTCCAAACCTTCTTAGCTAAGAAGCAGTATGACACAGGTTAGGGCCCTGGGCCTAGGGAGGTAGAGCGTGGGGCCACAGTCCTTCCAGGTGAGAACCTTGGCCCAGTTCCTGGAGCTGCCCTTCCTCTTTGCAGGAGCCATGCTCTGGGGAACTCTGCATTCCGCTGGCAGGGCCAGTGTCAGAAGTGACCAGGAGTTGCCCAGAGAAGGCCTATCATCCTGATCTTGGTTCTCCAGCTGGAAGCCAAGGCATGTGGCTCCCGGGCCCCATTACACTTACTGCATCTGAGGACAGAGCGGGGCTGGGGCGCCAAGGGCCTCTCGCTGAACTTGGCACTTCTCTGCCTGTTTGCTCACACTGCAGATTTATAGCTTCAACCTCAGGGGTGCCCAGGGATTCTCACAGTCACTTTCAGCCCAGAGTTGGGGCTCAGGCACTCACAGAACGGGAAATACCTCCAGAAGCCTTGGGACAGGAATTGCTGAGCTGTTTCCTGTCCACATGGAAAGCTCTCTGGATCTGGGCACTTCCCCGAGGCACCTAATGGGCCCGTGCGATCCTGCTGAGCTCTGCGGCAGCCCCTGAGAATTTATCACCGTTATTTTTACTGTGGTTAATTGTTAGAAATTGTGACGGGTCATGCTTTAACCTTTAGCGAGCTGCGTCTGGAGGCAGCCTCAGAGGACACGTTTGGCCTTCATTTGCCCTTGTTCATACTCGACATGGCTGTGGGCCTTTTGTGTGTTATATTTTGTTTTGATTTCTATTTTTACATCACAGTGTGACTTTATGTAAGTATATACACACACATGCAATGTTAAGTCAGTGAGGTCGTAAGAGGAAATCGCCAGAGGTCCAGGCCAAGAGTGATTCGAATTTAAAAAGTCCTGCACTGGTGTACTGTGTGATCTTGGGCAAGTTATCCTGCCCCTCTGTGCTTTCAGCTTCCTTGCCTGTAAAGGAAGATAAGAATGGTAGTCAATTGGGGCCTGGTGCAGTAGCCTAGTGGCTGAATCCTCACCTTGCATGTGCCAGGATCCCATAGGGCACCAGTTCATGTCCTGGCTGCTCCACTTTCCATGCAGCTCCCTGCTTATGGTCTGGGAAAGCTGTAGAGGATGTCCCAAAACCTTGGGACCCTGGACCTGTAAGGGAGACCCAGAAGAGGCTCCTAGCACCTGGCTCCTGGCTTTGAATTGACTTAGCTGTGGCCATTGCAACCACTTCAGGAATGAACCAGTGGATAGAATGTCTTTATCTCTGTCTTTCTCTCTGTAAATCTGCCTGTCCAATAAAAATCAGTAATCTTAAAAAAAAAAATACTAGCCAAGTTATCCTTATATTTTTAGGGTTCAGAGGCAGAATATGCTTGAGATGCTTAGTAAGAAAATGTGAGCCAGAGAAGAGGCCAGACTCGTGCTGTTTGCCGCGATCCTTGCTGTTCGGGTTTTCACTAGTGGCCGCTCACAACGTCTCATGTTCTCAGTTGTCACCGAGCTGAGTCCTTACTGCTCCTCACCTGTTCCAAAACGTTGCCCTTTGTACAGTCCCTACCCTTCAGTGGCTGTGGTTCTTAAATACCCAGGCTGCCTTTCCCAGGCTTTTGTGCATATACGGGACTATAAAATACAATTAATAAAAAGTTAAAAGGATATCTGAAGCTCTGACAGCAGTTGGCCCACGTCATGTTGCTAGATGTCCTGACTGGATGGGAAAATGAGTTACAGCTTATGCTCTGCTTTCAAATCCTCGATGTCATTTGCTTCTCATAGCACCCTTGGAGTGAGTATACATTTTTTTAAAAAGATTTCTTTTGCTTTTATTTGAAAAGCAGAGTTACACAAAGAGAAGGAGAGATCAAAAGAGAACTCTCCCATCCCATTCTGGTTCATTTCCCCTAAAGGACTACAATGGCGAGAGCTGAGCTGATCCAAAGCCAGGAGCCCAGAGTCTCTTCCTGGTCTCCCACGTGGGTGCAGGGTCCCAAGGCTCTGGACCGTCCTTGACTGTTTTCTCAGGTCACAAGAGCAGGGAGCTGGATGGGAAATGGGGCTGGTGAGATTAGAACCAGCAACCATATGGAATCCTGGCGCATGCAAGGCAAGGACTTTAACTGCTAGGCTACTGTGCTGCGCCCCAGCACAAGTCATTTTGAATAGTGAATGAAATCTTTGTCTTTGTACTAGTGAAGTTTAGAAGTTCAGATCAATCCCAAGACTTGGGGATGGTGATGAAATCTAATGATGTCTCACTGCAAAATAATCTTTTTTTTTTTTTTAAATTTAATGAAGGAATCTCCTCACTTGGTCTCTTGCTCACATACAGACAACTTTATGTAACATGGTAAACGATGGTCTTGTTGAATAGGTTCCACATGCCGAGCTTGTTCTAGGAGGTGGAGATGCTGGGGTGAGCAGCACAGTATTGCTGTGGTTACAGATGAGAGCAGGTATCAGCTGCTTTGTTGCTGGAGGTATGCCTTTGTGCTCTGTTCACCCCACTGCCACAAGGGAAGAATTCATGTCCATGTTTTACAGGCTAGAGTCCTGGGACTCAGGTACCAACAAGTCTACCCTTACTAAGGTGTCACTCATCTCTGTGCCGTTTGGCCTCCCCCCGGAAGTCTGGGTCCTCCTTTCAGAATACGGGGAGCCCCTGCCTGAGCAGGTTTAATGTTACTGAAAGAAACCTTGCCAGGGCTGGCCCGCTGCTCACTGTGTCCTCTGTCCTCTGTGTCGCAGTGGACTGCATGGACCCTACCTGCTCCGGCCGGGGTGTCTGCGTGCGAGGCGAGTGTCACTGCTCCGTGGGATGGGGAGGCACCAACTGTGAAACGCCCAGGGCCACGTGCTTGGACCAGTGTTCAGGCCACGGGACCTTCCTCCCAGACACCGGGCTTTGCAGCTGTGACCCAAGCTGGACTGGACACGACTGTTCTATCGGTAAGTACAGACAGAAGATGCATGGATGGTGGTATGGGTGCTTCCACTGGGACATGTTAACTGGTTCTGGCTGGGGCGGTGGCCCTGTTCTCAGTCACACAGCAGCAGACTGCCCCATCCCTGAGTGCTTTTCTCCTTTGTGGGAACAGCAGCCTTCTGCTCCTCCTGTTTTGGCTGGGTAGAAGGCTCAGACCTTAAATCTTCACATCATTCCCTCCATGGTATGGCCTTGAGATTTGAAACAGTACCCTCCCTTAAGAGCATTTCCTAAAATCACAGATATATTTCATGACATTGTTGTCACTCACATTAAAGGGCTATCCCTGGAGGCAAAGGTTCCCAGACGAGATCCGTGGGAATGCGGCTCTATAGGATGGCTGGTCCAGTTACTGAACTCTTCAGTTTCATCCATTCCTCAAATAGAAGGCCTAACTCAGTGTGCTGTTTATGGTTCTCTACAATTAAGCTTCCATGTGCCCCTATGGCCAGATGCTATGCTAGGTTGTAAGCTACAAACTTCATTCCTTTGTATAGCCTCAGAATTCAGCAGGTACCTGATCCATAGCAATTGCACAATAAAGGTGGATGGATGAATGGGACATGCATGGAGGGAGGGAGGGAAAGATGAAGGGTGAATGATGAATGAACAAACATGTAATTGAGTATATTTTTAAATGTTATATTTGGGTTGCTGCTGTATTTACACATATGTTATTCAAAGAATAATTATATCGGCCTTCTTTGGTTTGTAAACATTTTAGGATTTATAGATCCTCTTAAAGTAAGGAGCAATTGAAAACATGGATGACTTACCTAGTGCAGTATTATATAATAGGTTCTATAGCATATAATTGATCATGTCCCCATCTGATGTCTCATTTAGTCCACACAGAATGCCCATGAGAAAGCTGTCATCATCCCTCTGTAACTGATTTAAATAGCACTTTATCCACTGAATTGTCACTGAGCACCTACAGTCGACTAGGCATTCCTGAAGTCAGGGTTAATGGGGACAAGAAGGTCACTGCATTTGTAAAGCTTGAATTCTGGGAAGAGGGGATGGGAGATAGCGAATAAACAAATTAAGATTAAAGAAATAAAACCCCCACAGAGAGGACAGATTTAGGAGCTGCTCAAGCAGTGCTGTGCAGGGACACACACTTTATAAAAAAAGAGAAACTTCTCCAATCTATTTTCTTTCTTTTACTGTAAATATTTATTTGCTTGTTTATTTTGAAAGAGTTACCAAGAGAAAGGGAGAGAGAGAGAGAGCTTGCATCTGCTGCTTGACTCCCCAGATGGCTGCAGTGGCCAGCACTGGGCCAGCCCAAAGCCAAGAGTCAGGAGCTTCATCCAGATGTGCCACATGGGTGCAGGGGCCCAAACACTTGGGCCATCTTCCAGTGCTTTCCCCAGGTGCATTACCTGCAGGCTGAATCAGAAATGGAACAGTTGGTACCTGATTTGGCCCCCATTATTGGGCACCAGCATCACCAGCAAAATCTTTACCTACTTCCTCACGACACCAACCTCTCCAACAACATTTTCAACCCAAATCACTTTCCTCATCACTACACACTGTTTAAGCAAAATGAAGCTCAAATTATCCTGTTGCGTTGTGTATTAACAGTTACGGTTATAATCACAAAAGTTGATTGAAACCTTTAACAAAAACGAGATCCACGTGATATTCATGCCTTTGGAATTCTTTAATTGTACCTTTCCCTGTTGAGTGGTGAATTGATATTCGGTGCAGTCAAAGTCGTACTTTTATCCTTGTTTTCAAAGCTCACATGAGCTTTACATAAAGACATGGTTGTGAGCAGAAAGGAACAGAGTCTCAGGAATCACTGTTTTTATGTAATTTTGTTGACAGATCATAGATGGTTTTCTTACAGCTACACCAACTTGTCTTGTTCATTACCTGGCCAGGTGACTTGACAGGTGTGTGCCCTGATGCAACTCAGCAGCCCTTGCAAACATTGATAGAATTTTGAGTAGGGTCCCTAGACACACTTACTTTTTGAGGATTTACTTATTTTATATTGGAAAGACAGACTTACAGAGACAAGGAGAGACAGAGAAAAAGAGCTTCCATCTACTAGTTCATTCCCCAAAAGGCTGCAACGGCCAGAGCTACGCCAATCCAAAGCCAGGAGCCAGGAGCTTCTTCTTCTAGGTCTCCTACATGGGTGGAGGGTCCCAAGACTCTGGGTCATTCTCCACTGCTTTCCCAGTGGGAAGCTGGATGAGAAGTGAAGGAGATGGGATGCCATATGGGATGCCAGGGCTTGTAGGTACAGAATTAGGCATTTAAGCCATCACACCAGCCCCCATTGGATACTCTTCTGCTGACCCTGTGAGAGCAACCATCAGCTCCATTGAAAGGGATATTGATTAGTTGTGGAATTTCTTTTCAATCCCAGGTGCCTCAGTCTCCTTTACCTGGATCAAACACATTCTTACATGTGACCTCCTGGGTGAAGGCAAAGGAGAAGCATGGTGAGGAGACCACCTGAGTCTGACACACCTGGGTTCAGTTCCTGTCCCTGTTACTTCCCAGTGTAACTCAGGGCAAGTGACTTCACCCCTGTAAGCTATAAAATGGAGATAAGGACTGTCCCTACCTTCCAGGGTTATTGGTGGGTAGTGATGCTCAGGACATTGCAATGATTTGCCCATGGCCTGCTGGGGCACAAGGACGCTGGAAGTCAGACCCCAACCTGTGGATGCAGCTGCACCTGCTACTCACCGCCCACTGCTTGTGCTCAGCTCTTGCTGTCCCTCTGCCATCCCCCTTCCAAGGACATATTCACTGAGTGAAGCTGCTTCCAACCTGTTGAGTTTTACACTGGAGCTAGGCAAGAGATGCTGCATTGCCTTTCTCCACCTCAGCTGGGAAACCGATTTTATGGTGAAGGACTGAGCTACAGGGCATAGGAACCGGCTTGATTTCAGAAGCTTTGCCTCCTACTGCTCAAACAGCTTCAGCAAGTGGCTTGACCTCAACCTTCCTATGTCCTCTTAGGTAGAAATACCTTAAGGCAGGAGTGGAGGATGAGAGGAGAGTGCACAGGTAAAGCGTTCATTACCATGTCGGGCATGGCCCAGACGCTGGGCAAGCAGGCGGTCTCTTTCTGTTATTTCTACTGTCTGCTGCCTGGCTGGGCAGGGCTAGCACAGACACTGCCCAGAGCATGGCCGTCAGGGGCTACAGGCCAACAGGCGCGTCCCCTGTGGTCCTCATACCATGGATGTTGGCCCTGGACTATTGGGTTGGCAGAGCTAGACCCCCTCTACCCGCTGCCTGCTAGGAGGAAAGACTGTGTCTTCCTGTGATGAGTATCTGGCTGTTTGGCACCAAAAACAGGATTTAATGAAAGCAGCTTAAATCAACACAGCCCTGCACTCAACAACCAGCCCCATAATGAAATGTGAGCTGACAAGCTTCCCCAGCACTGTGGTGAAGTCTGTGGAAACAGTGAAATCAGATGGTGTCTAAGTGTTTACTGAGGCCCCTAGATTCCCAGCAGCTTCCCCTCCAGTCTCATCTCAGAAATCCAGTCCCCACCCAGTCCCAGCCTCATATCACATCACCTGCTTCCATGAGAAACCACAAAGGAGGCTGTCTGAGCAGATTCCTATGGCCTGGCTGAGCACAGGAGTTATGTCTCAGTCTGTACCCCCAACACACTTCTGTCCTCAGCTCTGGGCACAGGAGATTGTCACCTGCACAGTCATTCAGATGATATTGATGATGGTGATGATGAAGGGTTAGAAGGCGATGACCACCACTGCTGTGTTACAGACAGGAAACAGCTGGAGGGGGAAGTGAGCTGCCCAAAGGGATTTCGCTAACTGATGGCAGAGCTTGAATTAAACCCAGGTCTCTGTTCTCAGGGCTTCAGCTCCTGCCTCAAGTCCCCTTTCCCACACACAGAGGTTTCCTTGCCTATGGAAACCTTGTGTTTCTACCATGTTGCATGGCAGAATGTCAGTGGAGGAGCAATCGTTTCTTTATATTTTCCATCCACCAGGTACCACACTGTGCTTTACACCCTTATCTTGGTTAGGGTTCGTAAGATCTCTGAAAAGCTACCATTACTAGCGTTATGTTTCACATGAGGAAGCTGAAGTATGAAAAGATTAAACGGCTTGCAAGCACCAGCCACTGTGCTCACACACACATATACACACGCCGTTAATTAGCGGTCAGGCTGGGATTCCAGCCATGAGGTCTCTCCTGAGCTGCACGCTGCAGTCACGCCTCCCTGCCCAAGCCCGGAGCCATGCAGTGGATTCTCGTACTTGTTGCATGAATGACTCAAACTATGAAAGGTCAAACTGCGAGAAACAGGGCCCCCCTAGGAACATGAAGGCAGCCCAGGGTACAGCTGAAGGCTTTGCCCTGAGAGCATCCCTGCACATTCCCCAGCACACAGCTCCCCTTCACTCAAAGCTGCACCTTCCTCCCACAGTTCCCTTCCCTCACACCCACACACGCTCTGCAGGGCTGAAACCCAGTCCCTGGACTCCTTCTCTATCACTTTCCAGACCTAGCTCATGTTTATTTTCTATGCAGGGCCAGGAAATGAACCCAGCAGCTGGCAGCATCTCACGCCCCTGCAAGCCATCTTCCCTAGTGAGTGGCTCTCCTATATCCAGTACCCCCTTGGCCTCTGCATAGAGTGGCCATGCCTGGTGCCCTGGCAAGCACAAGAGCCCCTCCCTCCCTCCTTGCAAGTGCCTTAGTTGGCTCAGAGCTACCATAGCCAAGGCCAGGGATTTAGTGACTCTGAGATGATCCTTTCCAAATGGGAAATGCTTCCTTTCCTTCCCAAACATAATGACATCTAAAGAAGATCCCAGCTCAGGCATTGTCCAGGGGACAGCTTCAAAGGCCAGCCCTTGCATGTCTCCCCAGCCCCTTGCTCACTTCTCCTTTGTGTCTTCCTGCCCCAGCTCTTGTCCCAGACTCTCAGTTTCTTCCTCACACCAAT